CACATTAATTTCCATCCCCGCTAGAGCAGCTAAAAATGTAAATACTCCCATTTTAAAAGTATATTTTATTTTGTACAAACAATAGTGCATATGAAATATGTAAAATGCACATATTTACATAATGACTTTGAGTAACTCCATAAATAATTCACATCTGTTCTTTGCAAGCAGAGTGTTTTTTTTTGTTTTGTTTTTTTCACAGCAGGGAATTTCATTCGATATGAACTTAAAAGTCAACATGAAACCAAAACTGACCCTAATTATGTAATATGCATTGCTGGTCTTATAGTATATTCGTAAGAAAATGTTCAAAGAAAGTCTTTACAATCTTTCATCAAACCATAGTAATATTTTCTGCCTCTGAAATGACATTTCAGTCAATGTCACCTAGGCTGCGAAGGCTACTGGTTAACCTTTCAGCTTCAGACACACACGTTCTTGAGCCTTCAATTTTATTGTCATGAACATGTTCCAAAACAAAACCAATGCCGTGACAGATTTTCAATGTGTGGGTTCAAAGTCTTTTAGGTGATTTCTGCAGCACATTATTGGCCTACAGCTTCAGCAGTTTTTGGTAACACTATAATAATGGTCCGTCATTACTAAGTAACTATGCAGGAAGTAATGCAGTTCTACATTAACACTTCAGCTACTATTAACTAATATAGAAACAAGCTTAACTAATCAGTAAGTAATATCAAATTTAGGAGATAGTTCCTTATTTGGTAATCAATAATTACTTACTGTATTACTTCCTGCATAGTTACCTATTAATGACGGACCATTATTATAAACTCTTACCCAGTTTTTTTCCCCTCAATTCAAAGAATTCAAAGATATGAAAGGTCACTGGATCTAGTAACAGTTTTTTTAGGTGACACTTACACATCTTACATGTACTTACTATAGTAAGAACAGTATAGTATGTATAAATACAAGCAACTAACCCTAAACCAAACCCTGACCCTATAGTAAGCATGTTGTTTATTAATTTCACTCAGTAAGTATTTGTGTTGTTAAAAAGTAATAGTGTCACCTTACAATAAAGTGTAACCCTGGATCTTTGTTCCACTGCCATATGTTTAACTTCAAATCCAACTCATGTGGATATCTATTTTGCATTCATGCTTAGTGGTTACCATGCAAAACAACCATATTTTACCTCAAATAATTACTACATATATATATATATATATATATATATATATATATATATATATATATATATATATATATATATATATATATATATATATATGTAGTAATTATTTGAATTATTAGTAATATATATATGCTGTCAAATCGATTAATCGCGATTAATCGCATCTTACATACAAGTTTTTGTTTATATAATATATATGTGTGTATATATATATATATATATATACAGTATATTATTTAATTTATATATATATTCATATATTTTTTTATCTAATTAATCACAGGATGTGGTAATTAATAAATATAATTATAGGCAAATTAATCACACATCAAATTTGGCTAAGAAATTGCCCTCAAAAGATCATTTCAATAGAGTCATTATTGTGTTAAATGAGAAAAGCATCAAATAGACATTATAGTTATATTTATGCATTTGGCAGATGCTTTTATTCAAAGCGACTTACATTGCATTTCAAGGTACACTTTTACATTCGCATCATTTCTTGCTTTCCCTGGGAATCAAACCCATGACCTTGGCGTTGCAAGCGCCAACGCTCTACTGTTTAAGCAACAGGAAAGCTACATTACACAAAGTAGCTTTAGAATTTTATTTTATTTTATTTGATTCAACATAGATTTTATTACAGATAAACGTTTAGGCTCCAGTGGCCATAAGGGTGAGTAAATGAAATCAGTATTTTCAGTTTTGGGTGAACTATCCTATTAATCAGTTTTTATATGGAAATATGATTTTTATTTTTATTTTATGAAATTATACTTTAAAGCCTGAATTCAGAGAGAGGGCTTAGATTAGGCCAGAGTTAAGACACAAAACGCGGAGTCATTCAAAAAACGAAAAAACGCTGTGTGTTGCTCAGAGACGCACAACAGTTCTGCTTTGTCTTTACAGGTAATATTTTCATAAAATTGCAAAATTGAGCAAAAGCAGAATGTATATTCTAAAAATATAATGTCAAATGTGTGCATAAATGTGCAAAGAAAGATTGAGGTGGTAGGCAGCAGCAAACATGTGGACCCAGAGTTGCATAGAACCCACAGCTAATATGTGCTAGTGCCTTTTTGATCTCCTAAACAACATAAGAAATGCTCACAAAATGGAAAAGTTCTAACTAAATCTCTAATGCAAAACTACGGTTCCTTAGCAAGGTTTAATATTAACCAATAGCCAAATAGATATTAAGCACAGTTTCAGGCTACTGTTGTTGCTAATGCAGGTAAACGTAACACATCCTGGTCAAAAAGCCTCCTAAAAAGAGGATGAAGGAGGTGTTTCAGTTAGACAAATGTTCTCCACACACCACTGCAAAATCATGTTCAGTTCTGCCTCCACTGCATCATTTCTTTTCTCCAAACCAGGCCAAAGTTGATTCTACAGATTTCACTGGTCATGCTAACTTGTTAGCTAACATGCTAACAACACTAAAACAAAACCTAGCCCTAATCTAAAATCTAAGCGTTGGTATAGCGTTAGCAGAACATATGGTTTGCCACGATTGGATCCATCCATGATTTATTTGAACGCTGAACTGAATCCATGAAGTATGTACTTGGATTGTGCGCACCTTCAGGGAGAACATTCAGCCTTTGTGGTCGGATTTTGGAGGAGAGATGTAGGCTACTGAAACGGTCGTCAGGTAAAAAAAAAAAAAGATTTCATTTTGCAGTCTAGCTAGTAAGCCAACAGTTTTCCTTTATTCGTATTTTTGGCATATAATTTTGAGTGACAGATGTCGTATTTTATTTAGCCTATTTTTCTCTATGGGATTTATTACTGTGTTGACAGTATCATGATAAGACAAAAATATCAAATACAATTATTGTATTTTTAAAGTGCCCCTATTATGCTATTTTAAAGGTTTCTGATTTTTGACTCCTACAACAGGTTTGCATGCATCAAAGGTCAAAAAACATTTTCTCATAATATCTCGAATCTCAAACAGATGGATGATTCAGTCTCTCTAAATCCCTCGATTCCGTGAGCCTACTCTGCTCTGATTGGTCAGATGGCCAGTCTGTTGTGATTGGTCTACCGCTCACAGTGCACATCGGAAACAAAACGCACATTACCATAAACTCCAGCTCCGGAGGCTTCCTAAAGCTCAGTGATTGTACACACTGTTAAGACAGTAATGGCTGCGTCAATTTTACCATATCAATCTGCGCGCGAGTACGATGATAAAATATTGGAAGAACTAGTTATTGAACCCGAACCTCCTTCGCCTGGACGAATTGAGCAGGACATTTCTCAGTGATACCCTACTCAGTTTAAGGTACATTATGAGATGTTGCAACTGTAATTCATTGCCATCAGCATCAACAAGTGTACGTCCATCAACAAACCCATGTGTATATTTCTCATTTATTGTGGTGCACATGCGGGAACTGTATCAATTACTGTGCGTACATTAGCTGAGCACTAACGTGAATGACTGATGTAACATTAAAGTTTGCAAAACAAATCTTGCTCCATCCTTTATCTTTACTCAAAGTAGTAAGAACGACAAACAATTTGCATTAATAGACAAAGTTTTAGACAATAGTGTCCCACAGCTGCTTAGCAGAAGTATTTCAGTAAGACAGTAATAACGTGAGTTAGCCGGTTAGCCGGAAACGTACACAATATAAAACACAAAACTACGTATTTTGAACACCCGGTAGAAAATATATACATCAATAATTATTCAGACTTACAGGTTGTGATTCTGAGTAGCAAGTTAGTCTAAATAAAACTGAGAATTGACCCATCTTTCAAGAGCAAGCATTTTGTGAATCCCGCGTTGAACTTTGAGATTTGAGAAGCAGTCATCAGTAAAATTACGTGTTTGAAGGCAGGACAAGTTGTTCGAGGGCGGACAACATACAACATAGGCGGGCATTATGCAAATGTATTTTCTAGTGACGTAGAAGCGTCATCCAGAGGGATTCAAATTACAAATGACTCGTTTAGGCGGTTCAGAGTCGATTCTTTCTTTTGGGAGACCATAACTTTCCTTTTGTGCACTTTGGACTTTACAACTTTGCTGAAAGTTTACATTCACAGACAGCTTTAGTACACCCTGCATGAAAGGGAATATTCGAAAAACCATAATAAGGGCACTTTAAGCGTGCATAATAAAACCTAGCAGGAGTGGACGCGAGTGGGACCAAATAGAAAAAAAAAAGTCCCAAGCAGAAATCTAGTTTAAATCTCCTATTTGACTCCTATTTGGGTTGTGTGCCTCAGTGATAATGTATTTTTGTAGGCCGAGCCGTAAGTTAATCATCACACTGGTTCCATCGACAAAAAGACAAATAGGATTTTTCCATTGGCTTTTGTATTGTTGAAGAAAATAAGCTCTGTGACCAGCAAAGGTTTATGATTTTTGCATGGATTGTTCATCATGATAATCTTCACAAATGAAAACAACTTTTTAAAATTTTGAAGCCTAAATACAACCGTCACAAGGAAAAAGCTAAACGCAGGTTACACATGCACTACACTACAGTCACATGACTTCAATGCCACCACCATAAAGCTTTAGACAACTCTTTCAGTCTTTATTTAAAACCCTTTCCCTGGAAGTTGGAGTTGTAATAGTTTGTAAGAGTGTGGTTATAAACACAACGAAGCTGTGAAAGCGAGTTTATATGTTCGGCTGATGATGTTTAATGTCTTCAACCACCTCTATAGTCACATTAGACATAGTCGCATTTTACAAGACAATTCAAAGATTTAAAAAAGGGGGAATTAATTACATATTTCATGTTGCAGAATAAAACATGAAAATATTTCGAGCTTGTGTTAATCACAGACCTTATTTCAGCAACCCATTCAACAAAGCCATTGAGTTTAAGACGATCCAGCCAGAAGTGATCAAATGCTAACTCATTTCCCAGTTTTGGCCTACAAAAATATGTCAACCCTGCAGCACTCTATAATGTTTCATGTTGACTTTAAAATTCATGTGCAATTCTGGCACTTTCAGCATTCATAAAACTTCAGCTACTAGAGTCGTGCTTGCATCACATAGCAGCCACATACTCAAAACTGTATTTTGCATTTATTTTCGGGCTCACGCTGTCCAACCTTGAAGCCGCCACCAGCCGAACTCTTTCAGATCGACTCCAAAGATGGTGAACATCAGGGTTTCCATCTCGCTTACCATCAATAGCCCATCCGGAGGCAAAGTTTTGCTTTGGATCAAAGTAACCAAGAGTGACGACCCTTCTTCGGACGTATCTTCAAGCTTGACGTCAATGACCTCAGTCCAGCGATTCCCATGAACCTGTTGATACCAGCGATCTGGGGATTCTGACATGTTCGACTGCCCTGGACTGGCCTCAGTTTACCACAGACTTCTTTAAAGGTCTATGGTGAAAGCTCAAAGGCAGTCCCTGCACAGCGCCACCTGGCCGTGGAGGTAGTCTCTGCAAGGGCAAATCCGCTGGTGTTTGGCACTGACTCCAGCGCAACTGAACAGCAGCGGCTCCTTTTGCTGGAAACACTCTCTCCTGTCCACCTGTACGGCTGGAAACACATGGTTCTTCTCCGCTTCCAAAGACTCACACTGAGCATTAAGCCTGAAATGCACACATTCACACACAATGCATCCGTTACAAACAACCACAGACAAGAACAGGGGGGGATATTCAAAACAGCACGGTGAATAGAGAACAATGCCTGCTCATTTCTACAGCGGTCTTGGTTACGTAAATACTTTTCGCATTCATTTTCTTATAGGGATTTAAGATCTGTCAGCTTTAAACCAAACCGTCCAGCTGTGAGATGAATAACACATTACACATTTTGACTGAAGCAAAATATTACATGAAACTGCGTATCCCATGAAGCTGTGTAAATGAAAACAAAACTACAATGACATAAAACTAATTACAAAGCGAATATATAGTCTATTATACAGTAGATAAAATGAATTTCATAACTCCATATTAATTGGCTGTCAATGAACAAATACATTTAAAAAAATACATATAACAGTGTGTGTCTCTCACCCATTGAAGGCCTCCATATTGTTGATGAAAGGAAAGAAAGCTGGCTCGCAGATTAGACCGGCGTCCTGGCAGGTTTTCACACAGGACGAGGCCTCTGGAGACAGGACGAGCCGGAGGGCGCTGAGGGGGGGCCAGCAGGCCGGGGCAGTGATGTTGGGTGCCCAGATCAAAGCTGTGGAGTTGGGCAGCTGGAGGAAAGGACTGGGTGGATTCCCAGGCCACGATCTGGATTCATTGACTTTAGGGAATGGAACGCTGCGGTGACAAAAATCCTAAAAAAACAACAAAAATTATTGGAAAGATCTTTGGAAGAGAGCCTTATGATACATTATAAAAATAAATAAATAGCAGTTTTACCTGAACAGATACAGAATTCAAATGATGTGCGCTGCTGCTATTTCAGTACAATTTTGTGATTCATCCAATCTATCCAATCAGGATTTACCGACAATTATATTTTATAATAAATAAATAAATAAATACACTGTTTTACCATAATTTTAAGGAAAAATTAAGGCTTTAATAACCACCAGACATAAGGTCTGCTGCAGCAATAGCAATAACGATAACTATGACGTTTTAATAATGGTTCTAATTCAATGAGAATAGGGAAATCCACACCACAACTATGGCGATATCATACGATATTGGATGATATTGTCTGAATCACTTTCGAAACAATTATTTTCAGCTGATGAACGATAAAAACAGCCAATCAAAGGGGCCGTTTACATGCAAACTTTTGAAAAAAAGTGTTTCAAAGAGCATGTTTTTGAAAACTTTCCCATTATATTCTCCATGTTTTGGTGTGAATGGGTCAATAGTCTGTTAGGTCAAATACAATAAAAAAAAATAAAAAAAAAACTTTTATAGTGTTATAATGACAGTACAAATAATACTACAATGCAAAATATTATTGCTTTTTAACTACTATTTTAACTTTTTTCACTTGAATTACCTATTTGTAATGCATTCTTAAAAATGAATACTCCCAAGGGTCAAATGAGTCATTTTACTTTGTGTATGTTAATTCCAGGTTTGAGCTAAAAACATAAATAATAAAAAAGTGGTGCTGAGTACTGAAGGAGCTGAACAAAGCATTCAGAGTAGTTCAGGTTCTCAAAAGTGTGTTTCAGTGTATGTGCTCACATCAAATCCCAAAGGCAACCGACTAGCAAGCTCAGCATATGCGTAGTTCACATCATAGGCAAAAATATGCTTACGCTTATTCTCTTACATTTTTGTCTACGTGTGCATGTGTAAGCGTAACACAGATCATAGACTTGCTCTGCTCACGATTCGTACACTTTTTGTCAGTATGTCCCAAATCATAAAAGGAAAAGTTACTGGAATGTTATTTCAAAGTGTCAGAATGGCTCTAGTTGTGCCATTTTTTCATGATGCCATGTTGGATCCAGAGTGATTAGTCACGTGGCATTTTTGGCTTGTGTGATTGGCTAATAGACCAGAACTGAGAATCTATAAGCAAGGGTGACTCAAGTTGTGTATTTGAATTCAAAGTGTATATTTCCAGGGGTTCTTACCAAATGGAAAACAAAATAAATGGGAATACTAATGGTTACTTTTCTCCAGTTTTAATATAAATATATATCTGTATTTATATTTGTTCTTTAATAGTATTGAACTTGAAATGCATCCGTACCTGATGTTGAATGTAAGCGTTCACTCTCTCCAGCATGCCTTCACAAGTGTACTCATATGGTATAAAGGGTCCCACCTGTGCAAACAGACGAATGCTAAAAATCACAAACAGAAACCTGTATACAACATGTAGTTCACTTATCTAATACCTGTCCATGCATGTCATTATTGTGAAGCCTGATTAAACTATGCGTCTTGATTCATATTTAAAGGTACTTTCAATGTTATATTTTGGAATACATCATAAGTGAACATTCTTCTTGGCTAACCAATGGCAGATGGGCAAGTGTTTAGGGATTGAACCAAGCCTTATGATAGCTTTGTGTGAAGAACTGACTTAATGTTACACATGGGAAAATCCTCTCCAATGCAGCTCACAAATATTCTTCTCCATCACTTTTGCTTATGACAACATGAATACCAATGACGTCAAATCCAGGGTGTCAACGTTTCTGTGTTTAGCATCTCATCGAGATTTCAAGAGCTTTGACTAGGGGAAATATATTCATATCAATACTGGTTTAAGCCCTATTCGGACGGGACTAGTTTTCATGGAGGCCGTTTGGGAAAATCACGTTTCACAGGTTTACTTTGTTTGTTTTGTATTTGTATTTAAAAATCACAAAGACTTGGCTTGATAACTTGACTTGACTAAGAAACAAGAAACTCGCCAACAGGTTACAAGGAACAAAGCTAGACAAGGCACAATGGAAACATGAAACAAACAGAACAGATGAAGTGTGACATATGAAACAAGAGACCCAATCAGAACAGGACACATTACACAAGGGAAGAACATGACATGATCACATGAGGGCAAGGGAATCACATGACAGAACCAGAAACCCTTAAATAGGTCCCTATTTGAGGGAACGGACATTTATAGTGGTGTTTATCCATATTGGACATTATCAAGTGCAATATCATTCAATGCCAGAATGCACCACAATAACGAGTGTACAACAAATGTACTCTCAATGGCTAGAGATTACCCACAATGCACTGTGATGTTCGTGCTGGATGAATTCCCGCATCTGATGGCGCCCGCAACTGAATCATACATCCATCCATTTTCCAACCCACTGGTCCAATGTGGGTACAGCGTAATATCATACAGGTATAAATTCCTTTTTAATTGATTATTACATTTTTTAATTGATGTTTATACATGCTAGTTTCCATGACAGAGTTCAAGATAAATCTTTTCATTACTACTGGAGCTGCCAGTTTGCTTAGTTTCAAATGATTATTAAACACCAAGCTCAAAAAATGCAAAAAGCAGCAACCCTACCGGCGAACTCAGTGTCCCAATTAACTCACTCGTTTTTATTCACTCCCTCAACTGGACTATATTAGGCTAGTAAAGTAGGGAATAGCGAATGAAGGTATAATGAGGGGGCGATTTTGAACACAGCTGCAGACAAAAAATAAAAGACAACAAAACCCCAAATTAACGTTACAGGCTTAAAGTGATATGAGCATGAGTAAATAAAAACAACTGTAGTTTGTAGGTGCATTCATTGACAACTTTAACCTGCCATTCGTTTAGAAAATCACAATATTTCCACTTTTATAAGGTTTCACCAATGCCCCTAGTTCTAACTTTCTTTTTATTATTATTATTGTATTTTTTCTAATAAAAAGTTGTGTCTCCATAAGACTAGCTAGATTGGCTAAACCAGCACCACACCAGCCTTAACCAGCACAAGTCTTTTCAGCAGGGATGTGCAATCATTCCTCAAAATGGCAATATCACTACAGTGTTGAAACAAATGTAAAATAATTGATCTTTTTTTTTTTAGTAGCGCTGACAAAGATTGGAATTTGCCTGTCGTATCATTCAATGGGTGATGGTGAAACTCAAAGCAAGTTTTTAAAGACTGATCTTGTGTACATCTAAACAATTGCAAACTGTTGTTCCCTGTGCTCAAAATCATGCCATTTCTTTTGTTTGCTTTCCCTATGTTTGCACTGTGGATGAAAAAAAACAGTGATTTCGAACTTTTGACAGTGTGTTTCCATAACAACAGCAAGTTTGTGCTTTGAGAAAGCAACTGAGTCAGAACTAAAGACTAAGATGACTAAAAAACACGACATTGCACTCCACTGTTTAATTGGCGCCATGAAAGATTTATATAAAAAAGATGACAGTATCTCCAAATATTCCTCTTCCAATTACTAGGCATGTCTTGATGGGAGTATGTAAATTGTATGACCAAAACATTTGGACATTCCTTTTCTATATTTCTTCATAAAGCCATGCAACAACCACTGTTACACTGCGTATAACAGAGCTGTAACAGAAAACTACAGTTACCTTGTCTTTGAGTATGTCTACAACAGCTGTCTCAAACTCTTGAGAGTTGTTGAAGTCTACTGTTCTGACATGGGGTTTGCCGATGTACTGTTCAGTGTACGGATGCTGAGATGACACCTGATGGGAAGATGAAAAAAATAGTGTTAACTATCATGATATCACATTGCAAGAGATGAGTTGAGGCAGGACCTAAACGCAATAGTCAACTTTATTAAACATTCAATCAAACGAACAAACACTTAGGAGGTCAAGATAATAAGAAGAAAAACAACACTAAGCAAAGACATAAAGTACACTACGCTCTCTACACAATGGAAGTGCCGCAGATGATCTGAAAACACAGACAAACAAGCAAGCTGGAGTTGAGCGAAACCTTCTCAGTGATGAAATGCAATAAATCCAAACATGGATTTAGACTATTGTTTTGCGATTGTGGTTGCTGAATAAATGCACTTAATTTATTCCTCTGTGTGGCAATACAAAGTCTTTTTTGCTGTTGTTTTAATAGAAAAACATTCATTAAAGGATTAAGGAGTTCCACAGTTTTACTTTTTGAGAGAAGTTTCTTGTTTTAACAGTTTTTCATAATGTATAGAGTGTATTAATTTAAGCTATATGATAATAGTGATAACGAATCAGGAAGCTAGATTAGGTCAAATAAACCACGCGTATGAGTTAACATTCTCTTAATTTCTATTTATAGGTGAAAGTGGAATAATTCTGATGAAATATAAATATATATTTCTGAAATGACGACAATGATAAAAACATGATAAGGTTGACTAAAGTTTGGCAAATATGATGCATAGGATGCTTTTCTATTTAAGGAAGTAGAATTACAAAAAATACAATTCAGAAACTCATACATGTGTATACATACTAATATATATATATATATATATATATATATATATATATATATATACAGTATGCATTTCATGAATTTACTGTAGTGTTAATGTACATTTTGTACAGTCCTGGTCAACTAAAAAAAAAAAAGAGAGAGAGAGAGAGAGAGAAATAATCCACAGAATATGGTTACTGGTATATATAGTGCGCAGACTGCACTTACCTCTCTGGAAGTGGGCTTGCCTCTGAAGAACTCATGATTGAGGGAGCTGCGAGGGGGGTCGAACTTTGGCTGCAGAAATATGCATCCATTGGCTATGGCCTCTAAAGGGGCGGGGCCTTCATACGGAAAGCCAAATCCCAGGAAGAGCTAGGAGAAAATGTAATGGTAAAAATTGGTTTAAACTCTAAGCTAGGGTTGTCAACAGATTAAAAGTTTTTTTTTATTTTTTTTACATATGATCATTAATCAATAATAATGTATTATGCAATTAGATTACTTTTTTGATATAACGAGTAAAGTAATGCATCACTTTATAAATGTACACATTAATATTTAAGTTACTTTTTTTAAGTAATAAACTAAAAAGTAATGTACAATTAATAAAACAAAACAAAAATTAAATTACTGAATTCAAATTTCTTCTCCATAACATCACTTGCACACTCATGCATGCGCGGGAACAGACATAAAAACAAAAAACATTCTATCAACTTTCAATAAAAATAGTTATAATAGGTCAAATAACCCATATTGTTAAGAGATTGTTTGTATGACATACATAGATCTAGGTGCCAGGAAATATTCTAAGTGAAGGTGTATGTTATATGCAATGGTGTTGAGTGCATTACTGCATTAAACACTTGCTAAATGTAACTTCTCAGTGAGACAAAATAATGCTAAATGAATGTAATGCAATGTAAAAAGTAACTGCAAGATACTAAAAAGTACCGCAATTAGTTACTTTTTAAGGAGTAACGAAATATTGTAACAAATTATTTTTTAAAAGTAACTTTCCCCAACACTTCTTATCGAAGATTTAAAAGTACATCATGCTAACAGTACCTTAGCCTTTCTCAGAAGCTGCTGTAACTCCTGTTGGGGCAGTAAGCCGTGGTTCCTGACGAATGCTGGCACCTCTGGGGGACGCTGTGCCTCATAGTACACTGTCCCATGGATGTCCATGTAACGGTGTAAGATGGTCAGCAACTTCTCCTTACCCTGCATCAGCACAGAAAGTGGGGAGAATGGATAAGAATAAGCTGTACACTGTACATTTCAATTTGTGAATTTTACTTGGAAAAAAATCTTGCCTCAGGAAAATCTAGTAAAGAGTATCAGTGTATTCAAGTTTTCATAACTTGGCTTCTGAGTTTTACTGACTTAATATTAACAGAGTAACAGAGTGCATTGCGGCATGAATAAATTAAGCAACTGCTTTGTTTTTACAGTTTTTTTTTTTTTTTTTGCTTTATTTGACAATTGTATTTGCTGTCTTGTGTCAGTATTAGCACAATACAGATTGTTTTGTAATGGTCAGAGTCTTATAAATAAAATAAAAAAATGTAATGGTTACCATTGTTGTGTTTTGTCTGTTGAATGTTGATGTCTGTGTGTCACTAAAACAATGTTGATTGTAAGATATTGGCACAACTAGAGGGGGATCAACCCCTTAAATGTTTACTGTTTCACGATAGTGTTAGCGATAAAATTGTAATAGACCATAACTCAACATCAAATGTAGATTAGTTAGTGATTTAGAGAGAAGTTTGGTATCTTTTAAAAGCAACATATGTATTACATCTCTTCCTCTGAAACCCAAAATAACTGTGATTTCTTGTTGCATCACTGCATCATAATTATAGTGATTCAAATTAAGTTCCAAGTGCCCAACCAAAAGGAACACTGATCACCATAATGGTGATCATGTTTTTTTTTTTAAATCAACATCAATGTATAAAGTCAAATAATGTGATATTCTCTCAAAATGTTCAGTTGTATTGACAATTCAACATTGACTTAGAACATAAGCGAAAGCAAGTAAGGAGAAAGATAACTGCAAAAGTGGAGGAAATGAGTGAAAAGTCAATCCAGAGTTGCCCCACCTCTTTTGCTTGACAAAATGATACTGAATCCAATCAAGTAATCTTTACTTGGGTTTTCTGAGTTACAAAGGCATCGTATGTGAATAGTACAGATTACTAGATTTTTACAATTATGTTCAATAAATTGTTAGACATTAAGTAAATAAAAAGGGTTGGTTAGAACAACTGTTAGGTTTTACAGTGATAAAAAGACTAGTGTGTCAAGCCCTCCAGGAAAGTCACTACTTATGAGTTCTGTAATTACTATGTCATAAATACAGTTAAAGTGATTTTGGAATAAAAATAATACATATGGCAATTTTCTGAAAAACACTGAATGATTTTGGGCCTAATGCAACATAATGAAGTTCATATTATGTGCACTGCATTTAATTGTTGCTTTATCTGTATTTTATTATAGTTCAGTCGCGCAAATCTGTCACCTTTTCTCTAATTGAGCATGTTTTCTAGCATCTGTATAACTGTTCTTCATCAACAGTATATAAAATACATACAAATTGTACATTTAAACAGTGAATGTTTCGCAACTACTGACTTGAGATCAGCACCATGGACAGCACACAAACAGAAGCATGGCTACATAGAGGAGCAGTGAAACTGACTCACAGGTGCTTACAATTACAACTTCACAGCAGAACGACAAAATCTTATGAAAACTGTAATGCATTTGCCTTTGACAAAAACAAAGCGCCTGATCTGATGTAGCCAGCATCCTAACAGCATTTGATTCACTCTCCTTTTGTTGTCCAATAAAGCCCTCATCAGGGCACAACACTTAATTTCTCTGTGTTTGTATATGCACTTTATTTTTTAGTTTGTATTTGTGCATATTTGACCTCAATCAACAAAAACTAAATGGTATATGTAATGGCATCTACATGCTCAGAATAATTGAAGAAAAATATAAAAATAAATAATGCCAAAACACATCAGCATGCATTCATTATGCTGGCAAGATATAATAAAACATATTACAATTAGATCACATCTTTAATTATGAATGACTAAAGTCAATTTCACCATCATTTCCACTGAGAGATTATTTCATTTCATACATTAATACTGATTTGAGGCTGTCAGAGTTTGACTGAGAAACATGTAATTAAAATGAGCCATAGGCTACAAGTTTTTTTATTTATTTTTATTTAGGTGGCATATTAAAATCATGTTATACCCAAGAGTAGTGATTGGGTTTCTCTTTTCTTGAGAATATTGTTGTTTAGTTTATACTGCCTAACTCAGTTTTTTATGTACAGGTATATGAAAGGTCAGATTACAATATGTTTTACACAAAATTAGATATTAAAGCAGCATAGAGTTGACGTTTTAATGCTGTCTGCATGAGTGCATATGGTTTGACAAATTAAAAAAGAAAAGAAAAATATAAGAAATGGTGAACAAGGTGGCTTTTTTTTCCCCCAATCTGGCCCTTGACCGTACATTTGACATCTCTATTTTTGATGTTGCTATTTTCACATCAGAACAAAGAGAAGGACCATGTTCTCTGGACAATAATGAAAGTTCTCTTAGATGTGCAGTTAAAGAGGTATATAAATTATTTACTTATTTAAATCATTACTCCATTAATAATTCATGCATCTCCTCAGGCAAGTGTTACACCTAATTTCTTATATCAAACCATTAAGAGTTGTGGAGGCAAGCGCCTTCTCTTGAGAATAAAAACACATTTGGCCATTTTCCTCGCGCAGCAAAAGAACCTTGACTCTCATGGATGCTTTAACAGCACAGTTCTTAAACAAAGTGACTACAAAAGTTCAAAGTTTACCTTCTGGACATTTATGACCGAATGATTCTTGTGTGAACCAAAATTGCTTTTCCTCTAAGCAGTAATGAACGTGCGATTGAGGAATAAGAGTAACAGATGATGTGCTATTTCAAACAACGGACGTTCGGAAAAATCAATGTAGGGCCTCGTTAAGATTCACATTAAAGATTTCTGTCTGTCTCTGGAAAAGCATTGGTAGGTTAATGACATCTCCGCATCGATCTCTGTATGAAAACGTTAGTTAAACAGTGCTGAGGATAAAACATTGTTATATAAATCTGTAACAAGCAATCAGTGAATTTAAATTAAACAAATGCAAGCTTATTTGTGAGTCAGCAAGTTGACATACAGTACGTGATTCATTCCAACGCCGCTTTCAGAATCTAAATGGAATCTTCTTTTTTTGTAAAACATTTTAATGCATTTGATTATGAAGACTATGTTTTGTATATTGTATTTTTTCTTGTATGTTATATGATCAAACCACTGTTTAATGTGACCCAGTATGCATCATGTCTCATATCAAAATGTATGTATAGCCAACGCTATCTCACGACCAATTCGTCTGAATTTGACGAGTGATTAAAAGATGGCCAATTCGTATGAATTCGTACGACCTCATTCGTACGAATTTGTACGATTTGTCTAAACCCACGTGATGGGTAGGTTTAGGGGCGGGGTCAGGGGTAGGTCATTTGTACGAATTCATACGAATTGGGCAACTCGTCAAATATGTACGTTTTAGCAAAAATCGTACTAATTCGTACGAGTGAGGTCGTACGAATTGTTACGAATTAGCCATCTTTTAATCACTCGTCAAATTCGGACGAATTGGTCGTGAGATCGGGTTGGTATAGCCCAGTTTACACCTGGTATTAATATGCGTTGTGGTCGATCGGATCACAAGTAGACGAGGGAGACACATTCCCGTTCACACCTGGTGTTTCAATGCGTCTCTTTTGTCCACTTTCAACCGCTTATGTCCTGATTTCTTCAAGAGGAAGGTCTATGATCTAATGGACAAAAGTTATACAGTTTAAATCCCGTATGACTAGTGCAGTTCACATAATGTTTAGGCATCAAGTCAGTAGGCGGCTTTGTGTCTGTTTAACCATATTCGACCACATGAGCGTATACGAAAGCAATCCGGTCGAATGTGTTTTCAACTACCTCTGGAAGTGGAAAAGTCAATTTCCTTTTGAGTTAACTTCCACAACAATCTATCCATTTATTGAAACGGAGCTACAAAACAGCTCATTAGAGGTGCTTTCTAAGTTATTCAAAACCTCAAGTCATTAAACTTCAGTGTGTAACACATGCCACAGTCTTGAGTCCTCAAATCCTGCCTCTTGAGTGATCAGACTTACAATTCTCACTGGTGTATGAAAAACTGGGTGAACAAATCCCATAGATTTGTGTTGAAGAAGGAGCAGCTCTGAAAACAATACAGTCAAACCCTCTTACTCTCTTTGTCAGAATCAGGATTACCAGCTTCAGCAGAAGAAAACAGGAGACACTCACTTTCTCTTTAGTAAAATACAGGACACATATGTCATTTGGGATTTATGTAAACCATTGGTGGCGACTAACTACATGGTAAACAAAATGCAGATCCTGATTTCATTGAGTGCAGTAAGTTGGTGTATCAACAAAATTCATATTAAGATTTATATTCATTAATCTTGAAAAATTCTTAAGCAGCGCAACTATTTTTAGCCAAGCACAAAAAGGAACAATGTTCAATGCAAGTATGGCTGGGAGCTTCAGACAAACGGCAACAATAAGCAATTAAAGAAGTCCTTCGATTATTTTAGTCGTAGGGTGCAATCGGGAATTGTTTCTAGCCCTTATGGTTCAAAAGTTATTAGCATAAATGTAAGTGAACCTTTGGACAGTTGGTGGCGCTAGAGGGATTGAGTTAGAGACTCCAAATTTGCTTTGGTGAATGTTTGGACAGTACTCTATTGGTGTGCCAAATTTCACAACTTTTTACCATACGGTTCTCCATGACCGTGGGAACCCTGCTCATCCATAAACTGATGAGAAGATTGTCACGCTCTCAGTTAGAGCTGTAAGTGATCCAAGACGGTCGTCAAGAGACCGAAAAATAAATTAGAAATGGGAGGGTGGGGGGGACAGGGGGACGGAGGACAAGAGGAGATGATTGTCTTGCCAATCTCTAAGCATACAGTTGTGGTTCTGGGCTGAGCGACACATGAACAATGAGAGCGAGTGGGCTGCTATTTGGCCTGGAGGGAACTGTCAGCGTTTAGGGACTCCACAGCGCAGATAGCTTTAAAATGGCAACCTGTCAAACAAACAGAAATGACAATGCAAACCTCGAGCCGCACAGAGGCAGGGATAGAGACACAATAACACGGCGCTGAAATGCGCAGCATTCAAAAACGGCAGGAAAAAAAAACATTCAGGTTAAACGTGGAGACTTCATTTCTCAAAGACTCTGAGCTTTTTCACGGCTCCTGGGGTGCATTTTGTTCTCATCAAAACCAATCTCCGCTCCCGAATGCCCAGTGGTTCGAACACACTTTCTGATTAAAGTCTGCTACTTGTCAAGTTTTTTATTTTATTTTTTTATTTATTTAGTTGGCGGACGGGTGGGCGCAGTTTCCTCTGGCGACGTTCACAGCCTGTCTCTCTCGATGCTGCAGAATGTTTGCTTTCATCCTGCTTTGAAGCGTGTTAAAGCAGGCTGATGTTATTTGCTGTCAGCACATCCAAACACCACTTTAGCACAATCACTGTGCCCAACAAGCCATGATAGGAGCCAGGCAATCAATCTCCGTATGTTCTGACAGTTACACGGACTGAAAGCAACTCTACAGCAGTGTTTTCAAACGCTGAGCAAGGCTGGAGGTCTAACGCTATACTGCGTGATGGTAGACATGTGTCAGAATTCTGCTAATTCTGCTGTTTCTGTTAACCATCTGGAAAACCTTTGCTTTGACCTGCTATTGTTGGATGCACACGTTCTTACCTTCCACATACTGGCTTCTTTGCCGTAAACCACAGCCATGTTGTTGACTTTGTCTCTCTGGATGTGGAATCTTTCAGTCTGGTTTAGTTCCTCGGTCACAAAACCCATGAAGGAGTTATCAGGAGTGTGTGCTGGGGGAAAAAAAAAAACACAGTAATTCTAATTTAATTTACAGTTCCATACAAGAATGAATTCATTTTGAATAGAATCTTAAATGTTACAGAGAGAAGCAGCAAACAGAAATGTTTTAAGAATGTCCATTCAATTTCAGTTGTTCGGCAATATGAAGAATAGAATACATACATTTTCTCTATAGAAAATGTATTTAACAATAACTTATAAACCTTTAAAGACACAATTACTGTGAACTATGAGGTTGTTAATCGATGGTATTTGCTTCTGTTGAAGATGTCAGCCTGCCTTATTTCAACTTAGTTTTAAATTAATTGTGTTTAACTGTGGAATTCATGGTGAAAACTACATTACCCATGATGCTGTACAGAAAATTCCACCAATCAGAGAGTAGAAACAAGCAAAATGCAATAAAATATCTCTTTAGCTCCACCCACTCCCATGAACACTGTGAGAATATGTGCATATTTTGCAACAACCTTATATAAACCAAATATCTTGGTTTTTTATATGTGTATAATCAACATTTGTAATTGAGTAGTTTTATATTTCTCCATAGTTTTTTAATTTGATCATGCTGCTTGCAATGCTTCATGGAATTGTAGTTATTTCAATGACTTGTACGTTTATATTTGTGTCTGACTTTGGAATATTAAGATGCATTTCGTAGCTGGTTGGTTTGGTTCATGGCTTAAAACAATTTGACGAAGACTTTTGAAATCCCTTTTGGAAGAAATGAGTGGATAAAAAAATAACGCAGCTGAAAAAGTAGGCGGGCACTAATGCACTATTGAGGACAAAAATGCTCACATGTAAAAAATTTAATTAAAAACATAAATATCAGTATTTAACTACAATGCACTTATTGTGTACCTACATGTTTTCACATTGTACTTACGCTAAAAATAGCCGCATGCTATTTTATGTAACTACATTTGTAATTAATTTCTGTAATTAAATCTGTTTACCTTCTCTTAAAACTGAAACTACCTTTAAACCCCAACCATATCACCACCAGTCTCTCACCTCAATAGCAGCAATAAACACAAGTACATTGTACCTGACCTACTTTTTTTATTATTATGTAAGTACATAGTAGTTAAATACATGAAGTGGTACCAATATCCTTAATAAAACATTTCATTTTTCTTTGTCAGTATGAATACTCGACATATGGACTATTTCCAAAAACATTAGGTGATATTAAAAATATGTGTTAATAAATATAAATATAATTACATTTAATAGATGTCATTTAATGGACTATAGTTGAAGAACGTTTCATTTCCTCACAATAGTTTAATTTTGCTTTTATATAAATATTTTATACACATAAACAAAGTGCTGGAAATGTTTTCATGACAACATTAAAATCAGTTTGATACATTGAACTTTCAGTTCAGGGAAAAACTGCCTAATTCCCCGAGAGAGAGAAAAAAACCCTTTACAGTAAAGAGATATTTACTGAAAATGCATCTTTGTTATGTGCTGATTTTCAGTCATTCCAATCCATCATCCTGCGGGGAATCTGGCCAATTCAATTCAAATTCACATTCGCAAACTGAAAGGGAACAAATTGTTAAACTCTGAATTTCAGCCAACCCCGTGTTCTGTTAATATATTTAAATGAGGAGCAGTGCCTCAGACTGTCTGCAGATTTGTGCATATGCTGCGCAGACCCAAACCCTCTCCAGCTCTGAGAACATCTGCTGCTCTTCTCCTGCTTACAGATGCTCTGCGCCTATAGCATCTGCTACCCAAGACACGAAACACTCACCCAAACATGCACTGTTCTTGTTTTCTGCGCTGTGATTACTAAACGTCTTTTATTATACAGCCTGATAAACACATTAGAGAAGCTACTCACCATTTACTTTCTTATTTGTGTTATACTCTTAGAATAAAAGGTTCTATATATAGAACCTTAAAAGGTCCGTTTACTGAAAATGCATTTTTCAAAACGGGTTTAAAAGTGTGTGTTTTTGAAGATTGTACCGTTATTGTTTCTGTGTAAACTATAAAAATGTGAATTAGTGAAACCGGTGACATGTATATTACGTGTTCAGTCTATAGGCACTTAGTGTTTCTTTACAAAGTGGCATCTGGCCTGGCATGAATAATACAGGTTATTATATAGATCAGTGATTGTAGCATACAACCTTAATGTACATAACTTATAACAAAAACATAAAATAAAACATAAGAAACCATTATTTAAAGTAAAAATAATTAAATGTGAACTGTCAAAAAAGCGGATAATATAAATTTACGGTTATTTTTGCTTTAAATACGTTTTTTATGAGATCAAAATGTTTGATACTATTGAAATGTCATAATTCGCATCACCGATTTGAATATAACAAAAAGTAATACTAGCCTAAGTTTAAAACAACTCTCAAGCTTACAATCCTTGATAAAACAAGAACAAAGGAACTAATTACAAGCAACAGGAAAACAAACTAGAACACAAACAATGAAATAGACCTACCTGAAAAACTTCAAGCACTAGAAATACTACAATAATTTTGCAAAGCAATCAAAGCAATCAAATGTACAGTATATATAAAAAATGCTGAATAGTCTTACAAAAAAATCAATCAATAGCAGTGAGAGATTTTGTCTCTTTTGTTGTTTGATTAACATTGATGACACAGACAGCAGGTTTATTAGGCTGCCGTCACTTTAAAACTTAACTCACTGATTCAATATACTGTTACACATGCATTTTCTTTATCACTGTTTACGTTCACTTAAGACATAACTTACTGTGTTTAAAAGGATACTTGCAAAGATGGCCATTTTGACATGTAAGTATGTGTATTTAACCATTCAAGCCCAATTACGCAACATAAAGAGCTCTGTTTAGTACTCACATGCTTTATGAAGAGTGGCTTTATGCGCGCACATCTCTCAGACAGTGCTCAGAAACCATCAGACAATGTAGCATATAGCTAAATGAGTTCTCTTTCATTGCTTATTGCACTTCAATGCTTTGAAACTGTGAATGATAAGCAGTCAGAGACTCACGGAACATGGTCATGTACTGCTTGCCGTTCAGGTTCCAGTATCCCCAGTTGGTCCTGTAGCCATGCAGTGTGGCGTACTCCTCATTATTATACGCCGGCTCCGTGCCGAAGGTGTCGATCACACGGATGTGGCACCTAGACAGAAAAAGAAAAAGTGTATTTTCACTTCAACCTCAAATCTGTTCATTTTCCAGCTAATAAGCTCACACATCCCATTCCATCGAAGAAAACGCTGTTCACATTAGCAGAAAGGTTTCCACATTACAATATGTGTTTCCCCATAAAAGATAATATTGCCTCATTCCCAAAGCAGAGGAAGTTTTTTTCCATGCAACACAATGAAAGCAACCAAAGGCAGACAAGCTCCAAAATAAAAAGCACCACAGCAGTAGATCATTTGACTTGTAATGCACAAATCAAATGAACTACCGCTGTGGTGCTTTTAATTTGTATGTCTTCTGAGGCAATATGATAGCTTTGTGTGAGGTGCACAGTGAAACTGAAGCCATTAAATCTTTCCCTCCATTCTAGCTATCAAATCTCATTAATGCAATGATATATGATTGCATATAGATATACTTATCAGACGTAATCAGACTACATGACTCCTAAAATCTGATATTACTATAGCTAATACTAGCCATTACACATTTTCTGAATTTGTAAATTGTCCCAGAAAAACATGGGCATGATACATATATATAGATATATATATATAGATATATATGTGTGTATATATATACACACAAAATTTGTCAAGGATAAGGAATTGCTCCCGGCACTACAGTTGCACGCTCTCTCGCCAGGTGAACTGACACCATACACTAGTTTGGGGACTCCTTTTTATAGTCCATGCCCGCCCCTTTAGTTAAAACCATTGTAAACATTGGTGAGGTAAGTATAAAGTTAAGTATGTACATTTTTCCAATATCACATAAATATATGTATACACATAAAATAACGAAATCAGAAACAAAATGCAGACAAAATAACAAATACAAATATAGACAAATAATAATAAATACATTTCCATAATCCCCCTTATTAATTGGCAAGGCAAGTTTATTTATATAGCACATTTCATACACAATGGTAATTCAAAGTGCTTTACATAGAGGAAATTAAAATAATCAAAAGAAATAAGAATACTTAAAAGAGTTTAGAATCAAATCAAATCAAATACAGAACAAAAGTCGGACGAACTGCTAAACAGATGTGTTTTGAGTCTGGATTTGAATGTGACTACTGTAGGAGCACATCTGATCTCCTCTGGAAGCTGGTTCCAGCTGCGCCTGGCATAGTAGCTAAAAGCAGACTCACCATGCTTAGAGTGAACCCTTGGTATTTCTGGCTGATGTGATCCTAATAATCTGAGTAATCTGTGATCATATCTGCAATATATTTGTCAGGGTTTGGTGTGGTTGAGGAATGATGAACAGGCAAAAGCTCCACTTTAAACAGTTTACTCCAATATATAAATCACAGGTACAGACAGGCAGGCTGGAACACACACTAAACACATCTATGAACGACTAACAGGCAAGACTAACAAAGAACTTCTGGTAGGGTATGACTAACGATCGACAAGGACAGACTGAACAGGAAGGAACTAAATACAAGCACAAATGAACACTAACGAAGTGAAGACAGGTGACACAGATGATCATGACGAGAAACAGGTGGCTAATGAGGAAGTGAGTTCAGGTGAGGAGCCCCCCCCCCCCCCCGGAAGGCGCGACCTCGCGCCAAGGAACAACAGTAGGGCTGGGAGGGTGGGCGTCCTGAAGGCTGACATGGGCGAGGTCAAGGGGGAGCAGGAAGCCTCCAGGACTGAGCATGCCTTGCTGGCAGCCAGGGCGGAGCTGGTGGAGCGGACGGCAAGGGCGTAGCGGAGACGCCCCTTCGGGTGGCCACGGCGGTGAGGACCCTAGCCCCTTCGGGTGGCCACGGCGGTGAAGCCCCTTCGGGTGGCCACGGTGGTGAAGCCCCTTCGGGTGGCCATGGCGGTGAAGACCCTTCGGGTGGCCACGGCGGTGAAGACCCTTCGAGTGGCCACAGCGGAGACCTCCCTTCGGGCGGTCCAGGCAGAGGCCTATAGCCAAACCCCCCCCCCCCCCCCCCAAAAAAAAATACTTGGGCAGAGTGACAGGATTCGGAACCGGCTCAGGAACAGACACCGGCTCAGGAACAGACACCGGCTCAGGAACCGGAACAGACACCGGCTCCAGTGTGTGCGCAGCCCACACACACCACATGGCCATAATGGCTAGTATCGCGGTCAATGAGGGCTCAGGCGGCGCATACATGGCGTGAACAGTCTTTGGTTGAGCAGATGTGACATGAACAGTCTCTGGCTGGGCAGACGGGACCAGTGGCGAAGGTTTTGAACTGGGCAGGACCAGTGGCGAAGGAGGCATTGAGCTGGGCAGGACCAGCGGCGAAGAGGGCTTTGAACTGGGCGGAACCAGCGGTGAAGTGGGCTTTGAGCTGGGCGGAACCAGCGGTGAAGAGGGCTTTGAGCTGGGCGGAACCAGCGGTGAAGAGGGCTTTGAGCTAGGTTCATGGGCTGTGACAAATGTGTGTGCTGCCCACACACACAAAACAGCCACGGATCCCACAAGGAGCACTGCGTCCTCCAGAGCTGGCTGGACGGTCTCTGGCTGGACGGTCTCTGGCTGGGCGGTCTCTGGCTGGGCGGTCTCTGGCTGGGCATGGCTGACGTGAAGCTCAGGCTGGACGTGGCTGACGTCCTCTGGCTGGACGTGGCTGACGTGAAGCTCTGGCTGGACGTGGCTGACGTGAAGCTCTGGGCTGGACGAGACCAGCGGCAAAGAAAGCTCTGGGCTGGACGGGACCAGCGGTGGAAGTTTGGGGTCGGACGAGACCAGCGGTGAAGGCTTGGGGCGGGGAGGTAGTGTTCCGGATCGGGGCTCGACACTCTCCAGACACCGGAGAATGGTTTCCCTCCAGTTCAGACCGGTGGTGTCTGGGAGGTCGATCCGGTAGTGAAAGGTGGCCCCGATTCGGAACAAGGTGCACAACCGCTCATCGTCCTCCTCGCTGATGACGGCAATGCGGATGAAGCCTGCAACAAATGAACGGAGATCTTGGCTCTCCTGGGCCAGGACGATAATTTTCACCCCGTCGTCCATTTGGGGCGGTCGATCGTTCTGTCAGGGTTTGGTGTGGTTGAGGAATGACGAACAGGCAAAAGCTCCACTTTAAACAGTTTACTCCAATATATAAATCACAGGTACAGACAGGCAGGCTGGAACACACACACTAAACACATCTATGAATGACTAACAGGCAAGACTGACAAAGAACTTCTGGTAGGGTATGACTAACGATCGACAAGGACAGACTGAACAGGAAGGAACTAAATACAAGCACAAATGAACACTAACGAAGTGAAGACAGGTGACACAGATGATCATGACGAGAAACAGGTGGCTAATGAGGAAGTGAGTTCAGGTGAGGAGACAAGCGGGATCCTGGGAAGTGTAGTGATGACAAAGACAGAAGGTGCAGACGGTGACTGTGACAATATTGAGGTCCTAGGCCATTGAATGATTTATATACCAGCACTAATACTTTGAAATCAATCCTAAATGTAACTGAAATGCAGATGAAATTTAGTTCTGTAGCTAATTCTGGGACAGTTCTTTACTGTCCATTGTCCCTGATAAATAAAAAATAAAAATAAAAAACCTGGGAGCCAGTGTAAAGACCTGAGGACTGGTGTGATATGTTCCTATTTTCTAGTTCTGCTCCGAATCCTAGCAGCAGCGTTCTGTATGAGCTGCAACTGTCTTATTGACTTTTTGGGAAGGCCAGTGAGGAGTCCATTGCAATAATCCACCCTGCTGGTGATGAAAGCATGCACAAGTTTCCCTAAGTCTTTGACTTGAAACAAAGCATCTAATTCTTGCAATATTTTTCAGTTGATAGTATGCTGATTTAGTTATTGCTTTGACATGACTACTGAAACTAAGGTCTGACTCTAGAGACACACCAAGATTCCTGACTTGATTTTTAGTTGTTAGACCCCTACCGTCAAGGTATGCATTCACCTTGAGAACTTCATCTTTGTTTCCAAACGCAATGACTTCAGTTTTGTCTTTGTTTAACTGAAGAAAGTTTTGGCACATCCAACTGTTTACTTCATCAATGCATTGGCACAGGGAGTCAATGGGGCTGTAGTCGTTAGGCGATAGGGCTAAGTAGAGCTGTGTGTCGTCTGCATAGCTGTGGTAAGCAATTTGGTTCTTTCTCATTATTTGGCTCAGTGGGAGCATATACAGGTTGAATAGGAGTGGCGCAAGAATTGAGCCTTGAGGGACTCCGCATGTCATGGATCTCCACTCAGACTTATGGTCTCCTATTCTCACATAATAACCTCTCCCTTCTAAGTATGACCTGAACCATTTTAGCATTTTAGGACTATCCCAGAAAGCCCCCCCCCCCCCAGTTTTCAAGCCTGTCAAGAAGTATGCCGTGATCGACAGTGTCAAATGCAGCACTGAGGTCGAGTAGTACCAGTACTGATAACTTGCCTGTATAAGTATTTAAGCGAATATATTTTATTATCTTTATGAGCGCTGTCTCTGTGCTGTGATGCAATCAGAAACCAGATTGAAAATTTTCAAAGTATCCATTCGAGCTTAATAATTTGTTCAGCTGATTGAAGACATCTTTTCAATGATCTTGCCTATGAAAGGAAGAATTGAGATTGGTCTATAGTTGCTTAATATGGTCTTATCCAGATTGGTCTTTTTCAGGAGTTTGGAAAACTCCCAGAGAGAATTGAGGCATTTACCACTTCTAGGAGATCTGCTTCTAAGCTGTTTAACACACTTTTAAAAAAAGATGTGGGAAGTGCGTCAAGGGCGCTGGTTGATGTTTTAAGGTGCTGTACGGTTTCTTCCAAAATTTTGCCATCAATTTCTTCGAAATCAGACATAGTAACTACTTTCTCAGGTTGTGGTCTGATCTGTCTGACCACAGTGCAACCCAAGGATGTTCTTATCACCTTTCTGATATTATTGATTTTCTCAGAGAAGAAAGAAGCAAACTCACTCCACTTGCTGTCTGAGAGCATTTCACTGGAAATCTGGCTTGGGGGGTTTGTCAGT